TGCTTTTATACAAATCCAAGATATAATTTCTAGGCTATACGAATTCATGTTCACTATATCACTTAAATTCTATTGATTCAATATTCGTTCGCTCGTTCATTCGCTCATTTATTTAGTTATTCATTCGTTTGCTTGTTCGCTTGCTTATTCACTTACTTCACATGATTTGATCTTTATCCAATAAGATATGAGATATGTATAATTCAATAACATGTAATATTATGACGAAAGGTCATTATACAACACTATTAGTGATCTTTCTATTCTGAACAATATCTTTATTCTTGGTTCACATACAAAACTAGAAATCTTTGAAAAAAGATATTAATACAACAAAATTTATTGATAACTTGCACAATAAAATAAATTACTTTTTATAATAATACAGAGATATTCAATACTGTTATCATTTTGGTATAATTTATAATAAGTAGGTAACGTGTTCTGCTAGAATCAGACTTAATCTTCAAGGATCATCATTTTTATGTCACATGTTTTTATGACCATACGACTTATGATTGGTCATTGAAGTTACGATCATTTTTTAACTAGTAAACGTTATCACTTCACGAAATATATAGATATAAAAATTTCTTTAGATATATTTAAAAATACGAAGAAAAATAGTTCTTTTATATCGATATGTATATATATATATATATAACTAAAAACTACATCCACCAGAACTTATTCCATGAACCATAACTCCAATCTATCACTGTCCGAATGCATACTCATAGCAGTTCTCCAATTAAGTTCATCACGAATCAAAAATAATTCATGACTACTAGTTCTATTATTACTGTGCTTGCTTTTTAAGCGACAAGCCATTTCCTTGATTTCGTGAATTTCATAAGACTCTTGTATCAAGCTTTTCATTTTATCAAAAGACGTTGAATACTCCAACGGAAAAACACGAATATCCTCTTCTTTTTTGTCGTTGGATTTCCAGTTATAGTGAAATTTTATGAGAATGTTTCGAGAAGCGGTTTTGTAAGCGGTATTGGTTTTATGAGTGTTGTTGCCACTGTCCTACCTCGCGATCATTTATGAATAATAAAATTAATTTAGAATAAAGAGTTTACAAATTATTATTCCAAATAATTATATTTTCACCTCGCCTTCTCCAGAGAAAATAGAATTTGTGTCATTGTGATCATTTTCGGCGCTAGAACTAGATGTACTTTGCGATTCACGAATTTTGTTGATTTCAAATTCAACGTGGAGTTTAGTAAGCGCAATTTTTTCAATCGGAGTTTTGTTTTCGGCGACAAATCGCATGGTAGATGCGCTTTCTGTTGATTGCGATAAATCGAATAGCAAGGATGAATATAGCAAGAATATTTGTTTTTGAGATATAAATATTGCTTTACCAATTATAGTAATGAAATTTTGACGGTTTTGGACTACATCAAGAATTTTATGCTGGATCTTTAGAAATCAATAAAGATAAGATATTAATTTTCAAAAAAATTAGAAACCAATATAAACTAATAGATAGGTACTAAACCAATTTCTTTTTATCACGATCAAGACACAACACCAAAGTATCCGATCCAATCTGATGAATCTCATGGATCGCATCCAACGGAATATAAAACTTTACGCTATTCTGATGCATCGCGACTGCGATGACACCATTCAAATAACGATATTGTAGATTCGCGCAATCGTCAGGATTCTTCGAGTAAGGCAACATGTTCTGTGAGCCTAAATGGATTTCTTGTAATTTGAACGGGATGAATTCGTGTTTGGCGGCGGCAGCAGCGTTGATAGCGTAATGTGAGAAAGACGGAGAGATTGGTGTTGGTGTTGTTAGGTTGATACCATAGTAGAAATCTCGTTGCTGTTGTTGAAGATGCATAGGTCTTACGAACTCAAAAGGGTTGCGACGCTGGGGTGGGAGATATACGTGTTGTAGTTTCTTGAAAGTTGTGTCATTGGCGAAATGATTGTTGTATTTGGTATAACTCGGATAGACAATTTTCCCTATAAGTCATAGAATAAAAACAAAGTTGAAATAGAAATAGCATGAAAAATGCATGGAGATATATAAAATAGGAATAAAAATACGTATTTTTTCACCTTGTCCTATACGAGATGCATTATGAGCAAACGCGTCCAGTGAATAAATAGGACGATATTGATTATGGTTATTGTTGTTAGAATTATTACCAAAATTCATATTTAGTAATTTGGAAATTAAAACATAAAGTTTTATTTTGGTAAAGATAACAAAGAGAAACAAAATTATTTTGTTGGCTCTGCCTCTTTTTATATTATAAATTTCGTAACAATTATTTTCATCATAGGATGATAAAGAAAGATAGTGAAATAAAATTTTGGATTGAATGATATAGTTATCGATTTTGGGTCCTTTTTCGTGTTATCAAACATTTTTATAGTCAAAATTATAATTACACACGAAAGAGATCTTATGGTTAATTTAATTAAAATTAGAAAGTGACTGAAAGAATCAAATGTCGTAAATTTTCGATCGGTTTTTAATATAACGGCAAGATGACGCGAAAGCAATATAAATGAATCGATACCGATATATGTGAAAAAAGCGAAGCATTCTTCGATATATCAAGAAAAGATCATCATCGTTATATAACGTCACACTGGTAGCCCTAGCCACCGCAAAAAAAAGTGGCAGATCATGTGATTCAAATCAAATCACAAGATCAATGTGCAACGTAAAAATTCAAACAAATGCTTATTTTAAAAAATAGCTTATCTCCCGTTTAACCTTAACTCTAAACCTAACCCTAACCGAAATTCTATTTAATATTATCGTTATGCATTACAATTTTAGAGGATCGGAATCACATGATCTGCCACTTTTTTTTGCCGTGGCTAGGGTAACCATGGCAAATCAAAGTGACTGTCACGTGATCTATATCAAGTATTAGGGTTAGAGCTGAGATCAAGATTGTATATAAAATTGTCTTCCCGACATTTTTTGATAGTGTGCCAAGCTAGATTTAGATATCTGTTTTTTGTATTTTTTGTTTTTTCATTTTCTTGTGCCGAGTTTGTTTTGCTGGGTTGATCAAAAATTTGCTACATTCCTATTGGTTGCGCATAATTTTTGCGCATTTTTATTGGTTGTATCTGCCATACTAGGTAGTGTTTGGATTTATCATCTCAAATAAATACTCAACATCGATCTACAAGTTAGATAAACATGTTGTCTCGTGGACTATTATTAATCTACCTATTTTGTCTACTACTAACGATATCTTTGTCAATACCCGCCGTTGACTCTGCAGATGTTATATCGTTTTGTAAATGTGCTTGCACGAAAAACCAAACTAAAATAATACCTTTAGACCGAGGAAGAGCAAAACACAAGGTATGCGCAGACTGTAATAAACGGTTTTGCATTAAACAGCTGGGAAAAGATTTTTGTGTCGGTGCTAAACCTGGGCCAGGGAACGGGGACGATATAGAGTTTACGGAAAAATGTGGAGATCAGTTGACTGCTACTTGTTTTCGTGAGTTTATTGGATAAGTTTATTAATTTGTTGGTTGTGAAGGTTGTATCGTTTATCTATTCAAATATTGATCGATTCGCAACAAATATTAGAACGTGATTCTTATAAAGATGAGATAATTGTGTGGCTTTATATCGCGTTAACAGCAAGTCTGCTTGTATTCGCGTTACTGAAACCATTAGTAAAAAATTGGTGGACGGTGTGTATTTTTATTATATCTCGATTCTCTCTTTTTTATTGGATTTGTTTTCTTAAAAACTTCGTTCTCTCATGAAAACACGATCGAGATCTAAAATCAATTTATTTTTTGTCTTTTTCATTAATAGCGGCCAAACACACGAAACTTTTATACAACAATGCCAAATAGTTAAATTGCACATCTTCCACAAATGCACATTCAATGTCTGATTAGTGGTATGGTCTCTAGAAAGAGAGGTTTTATTATCATATATTTTAGAAATATTTAAAATAGTATAGTTTATAAATCTATTTTATTTATATACAAAAAACTTGGTTGTTATGGAAATACGTTTTTAATATTAAATCTTTTAAAATTTTCAATAAAACATTTTTAATTAGTAAATCTCATTTTAAATTAAATGATAAAGGAGATTATTTTAAAAATCTTAAAAACTTGCTTAAAAAATAATATTAAATTATAATAACTTTGATTATTTTGGTTTTGCAATTTTGTAATCAATTTTAAATTTTATATATTATTTTATATAGTTAAGAAAATAATTTAGAATTTTTCACAATAAAAAACTTAATTCAAGTTTAACAAAAAATTATATTTTCCAGATCAATAACTTCTCGTATAATCATATATAATCTAGATTTTAATTATAAATTTTATATAATCTATAATTAAAGTTATTTAAAAAATAATTCATAATCATAAAATTGGTTAATATTACTAAGAATATGTTATTTGAAAATTTTATATAAAGAAAATATATTAAATAGTAATATATGTAATATAAATCACTTGATATTATATGAAAGATTTATTATATAATAGCTTACAAAAATAATATATTACTTTTAAAATTTATTAATAAAATATAATGAAATATGAATTTTTCTTTTTATATAAAAGTTTTCAATTTTATTAATTAAAATTTTTTATTTTTATACAAAGATTCAAATAATAATTCATATTTTTATATTAAATATATTGTTATGATATGAACTTTACTATATTAATTATCTTATATTTTATTGAATGATTCAAATTATAATATTTATTGGATAATATTTATTAATATTTTATTGAACACTAATTAGAAGAGAGCTTATTCACTAATATTAAATAGTAGAACAAGCAATATGATTATAATAAAATTAGCAAATAATTCAAGCTAAACTAGCAATAAAATTCTAGTTAAATTAACAATTTGATTATAACAAAAATTAGCAATATAATACTAGCAAAACAAGCAATTAAATCCTAATAAAAGTAGTAATAATATATAGTAAAAGTAACATTCGTAAAATTATCAAATATTATAAAAGCAAAATAATTTAGCTAATAATTTAAAATAACTTATTATAATTTAACAATTTTATAATAGGTTTGATAAAGTTCTTGTTTGATAATAACTTAATAAAGTTATATTTGATATTAGTTTTAATCTTAAAAGATAAATTACTATTAAATAATCAATTATTATATTTGACTTGAAAGATAATTACTTGGAAAACTTATTATTATTTTTAAAATTATGAAGAAACTTAGTAAATTTTAAAGTTATTCTAGCTCATTATAATAAGAATATATATTATTTATTTTTAGTAATAATTTTTAGTCTCTTTCATCTTTTAGTTAATAGAAACATGTGAATAATACATCAAGAACTTAAAGTCTATAAAAACAGTAACAATATGTTAAAATATAAATTGGTATTTATATTTTTATATAAAAATAAAAGATTTTAATTAGTAAAATTAAGAACTTTTATATAAAAAAATTCATGTTTTATTAATTAATAAAATTAGTTTGATAAAATAAAAAATTTATTTTAAATTACTTATTTAATAATTATTTTAGTTTGTACTTGAATCTTATACAAATTATTTACAAAATAATTTAATTTTATAAACTATAATTTTATTCAAAAATTTTTATTCATATAGAATTGATTTTTGATAAAATTAATTATCTTTAATTATTTTTAGTTTAATAACTTCAAATAGAATATTTTATAATTCAATAATTAAATAAAAATATTTAATTATTATTTAGTTTATCTAATTAAATAATAATTAAATTATTAATAATAATATTATATTAAAGAAAAAATAAAAAATTTTATATAACAATCTTTTTAATAAATTAAAAAAGAAAGTTTTAAATAATAATATTTTATATTACTAACAAATAATTAATTATATATAATTACATATTATAAAATAATTTATTAAATAAATTTAATATATAGTAACAATAAAAAAGAATGGAATACTAAAACAAATTTATTAATAAAATATAGTAAATATATAAAAAGTATGAGTTTTTCTCTTTATATAAAGTTTTCAATTTTATTAATAAATATTTTTTATTTTTACACTAAATAAAGATAATATCACATATTTTAATATATATTTTTTTCAAATTTTTTAGATTTAATCTGATGAAGTTGTTCTAATTGCATATAAAATCAATTATTTTTTTATATGTTTTTATTATAAAAAAATAATTGACTTTATATGCAATTAGAATAGCTTCGTTAGATTAAATCTAAAAAATCTGAAAAAAATATATATTAAAATATGTGATATTATCTTCATTTTAATATAAAAATAAAAAATATTTATTAATAAAATTGAAAACTTTAATATAAAGAGAAAAACTTATATTTTTTATATTTTTACAGTATTTTATTAATAAATTTGTTTTAGTGTTCCATTCTTTTTGATTGCTATTGTATATTAATTATTTATTTACCTATTACTTGATATATATAATTATATTTTATTAATAAAATCACACACATGATTCCATAATTTCATAAGTCATTGTAAAATAATATTATTAATTTTAAATATATATACAGTCAAACTTCTTTATAGTCACATTCATTTATAGTTATACCTCTTTATAGTCATTTATTTTGCTTTTTCTATTTATATATAAATATAGTAAAAAAATCACTCTATAGTCACCAAATTTCGCTTTCCTGAGTGGTGATTATAGTTTGACAATATTAAAATTTATTAATAAAATACAATTTATAAAAAAAACAGAAAATGTTGATCAAAAAAGATTAGGAAATTATCCAGATTTTTTCAAGAAAAAATTAAAAAACCTATTCTTTTTAAATATTTTCAGAAAAGAACTGAATTTTGACTCGATAATTCGGATTACCCCGAAAAATGCGGATCGAGTTAGATAGTTGATTTGATTTGTTCTGAAAATTTTTTATATCTCGACAAATATCACTCCTATCGAGATGAAACAACTACCAGTAGATTTGTCTCGATGAGATGAATCCAATGAATTATAATTTGTCTTTCCTAATCACTGGATGCTGATATAGTATTTTTTCAAATTGCTTATTAAAAATTTTTGAAAAACTTCAAAACACTATATTTCACTGTATATTGATCCTATCAAGATGAAACAGCTACCATTAGATTTGTCTCGATGAGACAAATTCAATGAACTATAATTTATCTATCTCTGATCACTGGATGCCAAGAGAACCTTGAATTACTGATTTAATCAAATTCAATATAGTCTGACCCTAAGGGTTCGGGTCGAGTTAGATAATTGACCCAACCCGTTAGGGGCTTTAACTATTCGGATCATTAGACAAGAAATTGGATTATTGGGCTTGATAAAAAATGCAATTTATTGGACAACACTGAACAAGGATATATATTATTTGTATTATTTAATTATAATCAAAATAATTTTGCATTATATATATAATTGAATCATGGAATTTAGATTAGTGAATATAAAACAAAAAATTGATTAAATTTGTTATCGTTATAACTTAACAAAAAACCAAACTACAATTTTGGTAGAATTTACATTTTATATTTATTCCATCATCAGTAGTTGCTGTGTCAAAGACATTCAACAAGAGGTTCGTTATATCGAAGTTTTATGTTATGTAACATTAAATATACAGATCATGAAATTTCCATTTTTGAACAAGAAGAATTAATTCACAAGTTTCATTTTTTGTTTGTCCTTGTGAACTTAAAGAATAAAGAAAAAATATTCCAATAAAAAAGATGGGTTTTCAAATAATATTACGATAACAATAACTGATACATATGAGGAGCATGTATGCGTTGTTCGGTGATCATCTAACAATAGTTATAATAATACGGTAACTCGCGCGTAATATCGATATATAAATATAAAAGATGTCAATATCTATGATTAGTTCTTTTTTATTGTTAATAGATTATTTACACACTTTTTTATAGTGTCTGCCCTGTCGTTCGTCCAAGATAGATTTCCGTCGGGAACGAAATCACTATTTATTACGTTCTTTTATATTATTTACTGACTAAATATAGTTGTTTTTTGGTGAAGCTGCGCTTTCGCCGAATTCGAATAGTATATCATCAAATATGCAGTCATTTCTAAAAAACAGCTCATTAAAAACATTACTTCTACTTTTGTGGTGCCTTTTGTTTTTGCATACAGAAAATGTATCTGCACACGGATATATGGTAAAGAATTCGAATAATCATTTATAAAACACAACTATTCTATATTTAAATATCGTAAAATAAAATTCCAGGTATACCCAAAAATCCGTATAAATCCCGGTGACTACGCCAACATTGACGACGACGCACAATGGCAACTAACTAACGGCCCAACAAATCAAATGCCATGCGCAGGCATTCAACGACCCGACGGCCCAATACCTGACGGCAACACATTCACCAAAAATCAAACAATCAATGTCGTATGGCGAATTCGAGCTGCGCATCAAGGCGGCAGTTGTTTTGTCGAATTGTTGAAAGACGGACGAAAGTCGACTGAACCGCTGACGTTGATAGAGTTTACTGACTGTGCAACAGATGTTTTACATGACTTTACGGGCGGTGTGCAGTTGCCCGAGGATTCTGTTTGCGAAGAGTGTATTTTGAGATGGAGATGGCAAGCTGGTGATTCGACCACTTTTATTAGTTGTGCTGATATTAAAATAGTTGATCCAAATGCACCACCAGCGACGAATAGTTCTGTTTCTACCACTACTACTACTGCTGCTGCTGCTATTACTACTATTACAAACACTAATTCAATGATCTCTCCTACTTCGACAAATACTCCTACCAAAAGTAACACTGATAGTAATAAAGATAAAACAAAGAAAAGTAGACCTGGAAGATCAAAATTCAAGAGATCATATTATCGTTATTAAAAATTTATTTTAGAAATAATATTATTTATGTAATTTATGACCGTTATTTTTTACATAAAGTCAGAAAGTTTGATTCGACATAACTAATAGCGAGACTAAAAAGTCGAATGTTTCGACATGTGTAATACAGAATCAGAGATTTTCACAACTAAATTTTGATTGATGTTTTAATTTGCAGCCTGTGCATCTATTAAAACTAATTTTTCTTTAAAAACCGCGTAATCCTTTTGCGGTATAACAAGCACATCTTTACTAAACGAAGGAAATCGTAAATCATTTGCAATAGTGTTGGGTAATGCGGCGATAGTTTGAATGAATAAGGTCGGTAATGGACTATATGGAAAATTATCATTATTCTTAAATCAAGTCTGATACTTTGATAGGTAGCTAGTAGCTAAGATTACATACTTTTTGATTTGTCCTGCCATCACACCGATCACCAGGTATCCTGATTTATCAAGGATCGGAACTACGACAATCATGGCGATTTTCTTATCTTTGGTGTATTTTTCCTAAAGATAATAGAAAGTTTTTGATCTTAAGAAAATAGAATAATTTATTTTTGAATAAAATGTGGTTTATTATTTACCTTATATGTTGAAGCCAAGAAATTTGCAAACCTTCGCAATGTTCTAGGCTGACTAAGCAAATCCTGTGCACCACCACTTTCCAATACTACAAAATGAATTCTTCCTTCCTTCCTGATCGCACTTCTCTTTTGAATTATCTCGTTACAGCGTTCCACGATAAACTGTTGAATATTTTTTGATAGTTTTATAGCTGATATAATGTCAGCTACCCTAAAGATTCGTTATTGTTATAGTCATTTTAACGTACATAACCAACGATTAGTTTATGCCTCAAAAAAATTCATATATACTTACCTTTGTTTTTCCAATGAATCAGATGCGCTATAAAAGTTCCACCAAGAATCCTTTTCAAATTTACTACTAGCCTTATCAGCCGAATGAATTCGACACCCAATACTTTCTGCGTGTTCCGTAAAAGTATCAATCAACGCGTTCAATGCATATGCCGCGTCACAAGCTGTTAGTGCTGTGTGAAATCCATAAGTTCGTGCAAAGGAAGGGAACTCCAAATCTTTGACTTTATGTGATTCGGCGAATTTTGCAAGTTTCTCGTGTAATTTTGGACCGATCTCTGTGCGTACAGCAATAAATTCTTGATGACTTTGATTAAGAGATATCCTGAAATCCGATAATATTATTTTATAATTATAATTCTGTGGCAGATTCATCTCCAAAAGTTTTTTTTTGAACATTCCCTCGAAAAAGAACGTCTACGTACCCCATCTCAGTTAAATATGATCGCCAATTCTGTTCCCCTTGCTGACTATATAGTTTCATTTTGGAATACGTGTATTGTGAACATTTCACACTATCGTATAATGACCAATGTCCGAGTAACATAAATCGATATGTTTTTTGGCCAAATATTAAAGATATAATATAGATGACAAAAATAATCTGAGACAATGTAATAAAAACAGGCAACAGATCGAACAAAATAATAAAGGATATTCCATAATACTTCGAATATTATTATCACTCCCATTTGCCGGTGTAATCGTGTACATTGGCTTCACATCCTCATGTTTAATGAGTTTTAGTATCTCAAGATAATACGCATACTCTTCTTTATAGGATTCTTCTGTGATCTGGCTGTTGATGTATTGGCTTGCTAGTCCGATTATTGCCCACCTTTCATTAATATAATAAATTTAGATCGGATAAGTGACTTGAAGTAAAACATCAGAGTACAAAATGCTAATCAATAAAAAAACTGCTTTTTGTATATATACCAAAGTAAATTCTTTGTGCTTGGATGATCTTCAAGTGAAGCTTTTGATACCTTTAACGACATTGAGTACACTAATCGGGCGACTGATTTGCTATAGTATGGAGGGCTTTGTTCGTAATTTGCTAGTTCTCTTTTAAGCTTTTGTTTTTCGTCGTCAATGTCTGCTTTGGCTTTTTTTGATGTGCCCTATAGAAATTATATATAATAACTTAATTAAAAACACAGAATACGAGCCGCGTGATTATTTTTCTTTCCACAAACCACGCTGGTTTCTGCTCTGTGCCGCTTATTCCCTCTCCTTTCTTCTACGTATTCAGATTTCTGTCTTTCAACATCCTATCAACAAATGTATATATCTCTTACACATGTGTGCAAATAAATATATTTATTATAGTATAGTAAAAATTCAAGTATCTTACGCGTGATTTTTCATTTAGATCCATAAGTCGTGCGTAATTATCATATAAGTTTTCTAAAGTATCTTTATAATGGTCTTCATCCAATACAATAACCTTTCGGGAAACAATCAATAATTAATACAATAATTATATCCTAAAATATCTTCAAACTTATTGAATCATCATATACATTTATATTGTCTCACTCTTTTCTCTCTTCCACAACTAATACGTCCAAGATAGATTTCCGTCGGGAACGAAATCACTATTTATTACGTTCTTTTATATTATTTACTGACTAAATATAG